GAAGGCAGAGTAATATATGTTTAAAGTTTTGTGATGGAGAAACAAGTTTTCATTAACTTGTTCATCTTTAACTTTAATTTCTATGCAGCTTTACAGTATTGTGCTAATTAGTCATTACTTTTTATGGCACATAGAAATTTTTAATAATTAAATATTAATTACTTTTTTCAATTTCTTTTCCCGAGAGCATTTTATGTGATAGACACAGCATGGATCTATAAATATCTAGCACAGTCCCTGACTTCAAGAAACTTACAGACTGTGGGGGAAGCAGATTTGTCAAAAGTTACAATACAAAAATGGCAGGGAGGCATGGTTATACATCGGAGATACTGACTAAGGTAGAAGATGTCTGTTTTGGAAATGATGGAGTTTATCAGAAGACAAGTGGGGCAGAGAGAATTAAAGGGGAAAATCACAGGATATGAAAAATTCCAGTATGAAAGCATAGCCCTTCTAGAGGTCAACCCATAGAAGTGAGGTTTTGACTATAAGGTGTTCCTGGTTCTACATGAGGCTGTGTAAGTGGGTGAGTAGGAGACAGATTGTGTGAATGATGCTGAGTATTTTAATAATGTGTGAAGTGTGAAGATTTGGCTTAACTGTGAAAATGCAGGGGATGATTTGATGAGAAGCCTCACACCAGGAAAAAAGCTGTAGAAAGGCGAAACTAACAATTCTTGTTTTGTCTTGCTCTTTTGGGCACACTAGGCCTATGTTTGTTCTTTTATATTCTCATATTCCTCAGACTCAATGAACACATCAAGTTAAATGATTACCTCTTTTCTGTGTAAAATGGTGCCTCATCATTGGAGGGTTAACATATTCCTAAAGTTTTAAGGTATGTCACAAAGAGTAGCACACCCCAAATTTATCAGGAAGAGAGAAAGGAGACTTTTTCTATCGAGGTAACTTTATGCACCTCTCCTCTTTTTAGCCATACAATAAATGACTCTGTGGTGTTGTGTGGTATTGTAACCTTGGTGTTGTGGGGTATGGTAACTGTTGATGGTGGAAAAAATAAAAAACACGATATGGTTCTGTACTCACAGCTTCATCATATCATAGTATTTCAGTCTGACATTTGTGGCAGGGTAAAGGTAAGGGCCATGGTGGCACATAAATACCACTGTAGTGTTTCTGCCAGTTGCTACCATTACCCAAGGTAGTCATGGATTAAAAAAATCACACACACACACATGCACACACACACACACACACACACACACACACATACACTGGATTACTGCATTGCTCATTACACTTACAATGAGTAATAATGGAATCCTGGATGCATTGAAAAGTCAGTGTAAAAAGTGCCCAGTTACTCTGGGCGATTACAAATGATCTACATACAAAGAAGCAGAAGGCAGAGAGAAGAGGTTTCAGTAGAGATGAAAGTTGAAGAACAAGATAAAGACTGGAGCGTGTGAACAATATACCATGAAGTCCACTCTAGTGAAAAAAAGTACTTGGAAAATGTAGAAGAAATTGTCTTAGGTACTTAGTGTCTAGGAATTTCACAACACCGAGTCTTTGGGAAAATCGTCAAAATGTGTCAAGAGGGATGGTAAAGACCAGATAACAAAGGGTCTTTGAGAATTTGAACATAAAAAGAATCCATTTGGTTTTTTTTTCCACCTCAGGGGAAGTGAACTTTATGGTAGCTGTTGAAAACAACCAAGTTGAACGGGGATTGACATTTGAAGCATTCATGTTTCTAATTTAAATAAAAAACATACAAAACAGAAAATAAACAATTTAACAAACAATTATAATTTGTACTCATATGCCTCACTCTACTAGGATCGCTGTTTATCGATAGAGGAAAGAAAATACTAAGAGAAGGAGCCAGGAAGGCTCTACTGTAGCTGCACCACTGAAGATGCTGAGGAGAGTGGTGTGAGTCTTGTGTGGGAAGCTGAGGTGCTCCCACTTGGGAAGAGGTGTGGAGATGCAAGCTCAGGATGAGCGCATGGAAGGCTGAGTAGTCGTTGTAGTATACATATTCCAGAGTCTCGGTTAGAGATGTAGGCCCTTACTCATAGTGTAGATATCGAATTTTACTGCCAGGTTAGGAGGTATTAGTGGAACTCTCAGAAAATAAATGATTTTTAAAGAAGTTGCACAACAGTTTCTGCATACAAAGTCTTCCGTAACTAAGCCCACCTTCCCTATTTACTCAATTCCACACTTCACTTTACAGATTATGGCACATGCTCCTCTCAGCTAACACCATGCCCATTTAGGCCACTTGATTCCTTCCTTCAGCAGATCGTGGAAAATGAAGCTGTGGCAGCTGCATACCACAATTCCAGATAACTCCATGCAACATGATTCTCACAATAATCACACTTTAAGACTTGTCTTTTTTTTAGTTTATGTACATGTGTGTGCACATGCAGTATATGTTAATTGCCACATGTGTGCAATTACCACGATTTTGGAACTACCTTTCCCTTTCTGAGATATCTGGATCATGGTTAGTCACCTGAATTCATAAGGGTTTTCAGGAATTCCCAGAATATCACTGACCTCTATTCCAGTCCTAGTTATTGGGTATTTTCTACTATAAAAGAAAATCCTTAAAAGCTTCTATCTGTTGATGCCTCTTTATTTCAACTATATGAATTCTTAAGTTGACAAAATATGATTTCTATCTGGAAATACTAGAATCCAAGAAAATAACTAAATTTACTAGTTAAAAAATCCTATGCCTCACAAACATGGAATAAAAATGCCCATGCAAATATGTGAATGTGTGCCTGTGGGCATGCATGCATGTGTACGTGGAGACCATAGATTGATGCTGGATACTCTCTCTTTTCATTCTCCACCTCTGTTTTTGAGGCAGGGTCTCTTATTGAACACATTACTCAATAGTTGGCTAGACTGGGTGGAAAAAGAACTATAGGCTTCAGTGTTAAGGTTATAGATACACATTATCATAGTCAGCTTTAAAATATGTATATGATGGCCTTCTGAACTCAGGTCCTCATGCTTGCACAGCAACAGCAAGCACCCTGCCAGCTGAGCAATTGCTCTAGCCACTGATTTTTTTAATACAAGAAAATGAAGACAGTTGTGCTTTAAACTTTAATATATTATTTATATTCATGTCTCTGGAGTCTAAGAAGCAGAGTGAGTGTTTTCATAAAAGGCTGATATTTGAAGGCATAAATATTAGTTTCCTTTACACAATGATCCTACTTGACAAGTCATCTCTAAACTCCGGCTTGAAGTAGTGTTTATGGGACTGAGGGGATGCTTGTGGGTAAATTGTTACCTGCAAAAGCATGAGGACTTTTTATCTTACACACCCACATAAACAACAATAAACAAACAAACAAAACCCCAGGAGTTGTGGAGTTCTCAACATCGGACAGAACTGTGGCACTATGGCTAGTTTTACAAGGGCAGACGAGGTGGGGGGGTAGCAAGATGATTCTCTACAGGCCTCGTGACCCTGACATCCCCCATTCTGCCTTGCAATGGACAGAGTTGGCATGTTTTCTGAGGTAGGATGGCACTGCTGAGCTCTTGACACAGGAAGTGGTAATGAGAGTGGGGCAAGGGGGTCCTGACCCTCACTGGACACTCAGATTCCTAAAGTGATTAGGTAGGAATCTGGACCCTGACCCAGATCACCTGGACGATCTGGACAGAGAGCTGGGGGATGGGAGACACAAGCTTCAAGTTGTAGGGAACACATTCTCTACGGCTCTGGAGGCTGTCCTGGAACCAGCTCTCATAGACCAGACCAGGCTGGTCTCGAACTCACATAGATCCACCTGTCTCTGCCTCCCGACTGCTGGGATTAAAGGCGTGTACCACCACCGCCCTCCCTGCTGAAAATTATGGATTCAGATAAACATTTTTATAGTTCTGATTTGTGTTAATAAAGAGAGAAGCCAGAGTTCTCTTGAGTTTCCAGAGCTGGGGTAGTAGAGATAGGTAGATTTCTGGCAACCACATGAACATAACCCTCTCTCACACACACTTTTTTGCATTTCTAATATATTCACAGACTAGCTTTGTAGTTTATCTAGGCTCAATAGGGCTCATTTTCTACCTGTGGTCAGCAGTAGATCAGCTGGGCAGATTTGATTACATAAGCTGGACTTTCTCACAGGGTCAAGGTATTGGTTGAAACAACCAGGCTGATTCACCTCTGATTCATGTGCTGTGTTACCTTCTACTAGAGACCTTGAAAATGCTTTCCTAGTATAGAGTAATATCCAACATGAAACAATAGTGTGCAACATGCCCAGATTTCTAGGTTAGGCTTGGTGTTCCATCTATTACATTCTATTGACCAAAGGAAGTTACAAGGCTGATCTATGTATAAGGGGTGAAGGAATAAGTAGCAAATGGATGGGAGGTATCTCAGAGGTCCATGGCAAAGGATATGGGTCTGGGGAGCCTTTTGTTAATCACTGCCTTTCATAGGTGAAGAGACCAGTATCTTATCATCTCAAGACTCCTCAAGAAGAAGTTTTCAGCACATAGGAGATCCATTTCCCCAGCGGGAAAAGGGCAGGGAATAAGAGACAAAGACAGGAGATAGAAGACAAGGGAGAAGGGGAAAGGAACAAGGGAGGGGGAGATATTTGTCCCACAGGAACAAAAGACTGCCTCTGGATAGAGAGGAGACAGGCATGACCCATAAGAAAATGGTGGTTTATAAAGGTAAAAATGTGTGTTAGGATGAATATTTTAATTGAGAATGTTAATTAGGTGAACCAAAGGGTCTTTTGATTGCTGAGCTTTAGTACTTTGATAGATGGACCTTGCTAGTCAGACTCAGGATAAAAGTGGACAGATATTAGAATAGATCTTGGTGGCTACCGTTTGGAATGTAACCTAATGATTTTTAACAAAGCAGCGGGAATGGTGGAGAAGGGCCAAGCCTGACATGGTCACGTTTGCCATGCTCAGACTGGATAAAATCCCTTCAGTAGTCTCATATCGAAATGTGAGGATTATTTAGGTGTATTCTAGGAACTCTATCTTCAAATCATTGAATAGAAATAATAAAACTTAGAAAGTATTAGTATTACCTTATCTCAGAATATAATGTTCAAAGAGCCAGATATCTTCCATTGCTACAGATACACACAAGTGAGGATATTAGTTCTTGAGGTGACACACACACGTATATATACACGTGTGTGTGTGTGTGTGTGTGTGTGAATTAAATATGTCAGATTCTCAGAACATTCCTCTGAAGGCAGAAAGAGCATCCAGTATCTGATGCTGATCAGACATCCACAAAAAGAAACTGGAAATGGGAAGGTTGGATGGGGACACCTCTGACCACAGTGCATTTTGGAGAAGAAACTCTGGCAATGACATGTGTGAGATTTACCAAGTGTCAACCTCAAATCTGTGCTCAGATTCTGGTTGTGGTGGGACATAGAAGAAGTGCATCTTGTTATAATTTCAAGTGTGCCAGCTGGGTGGTGCCTTTCAACTTTTCTCCCCATAGAACATGTTCTTGAAATTAGATCTGGATAGAGAAATCCCAGAGCTGTTTTACAGAGAATGTGAAATAAAACTTATTCAAAAAGAACTGGTGTCAAATTGTATCAGTTATATCATTACAATAAGAGCCAAGGCTGATTCTGATAGACTACAATGGATTTCTACAAATGGGCACCAACTTGTCAATGCAGTAATATTCAAACAAACACAGTGTCTTTCATTTGCCATAGGTGATAATAAAACTCTCTCAGAACAGTCTCTTATACTCCCTGCCTGTCAAACATAGATGGTGAGTTTCTACTATTAATTAACTTAGATCTCCACTTTTTAAATGCTCACAGTTCATTGTCTGACCTGGATGCCAAACTCCATGGCCATTCAATGTCAAATCCTTCTGCAGATACCTAAGGACTACCATTGCTGTATCTTGAATGCATATGCCCTTGGCCTTGGATATTATGACACTTAAAAATTTGATTCTTTGAAGGTGGAGATGATAAACCATCTGCATATATATACATCACAAATATATATATATATATATATGTGTGTGTGTGTGTGTGTGTGTGTGTGTGTTTGCTGTTTTGTTTGGTAATTTGGAAAGAGGAGGAAGCAGAGTGGAAAGCCACATGCTCTGAAAGTCTTCATATCCTCAGCTAAATGAGTATATGTATGAGATATAGACATGTACCACCAATTTTCTAAATTCCTTCAAAGGAATTCCCAGTCTTCATGCTTGCTCACATACAGGCATTTGCCTTTCAACAACTGCAATGAGACCACATGAGGGTATCCTAAAGATTTGGAAATTCACTCACTCTACTGGTATTGCTTATTTTCATATTGTGGTTAATTCTCAGTTCTGAAGAAAATTCTGTGCTTCTTCTGTTATCTTCACATTGGATGCATAAATAATAGCTTCCCACTTAGTCTATTTGCTTCATTCCATCCCTTATACATGCAGCATTCAGAATGTTATAAAATCATGAATCAGATATATCATTCTCCTTTGTGAATCAAATTTTATTCACAAGTGTGAAAGCATTCTAATCCAGGTATCTGGCATGCGTTTTTATTTTATTGGGATATTGGACAATCATTTTCCTGTGTGGTATTGTAACTTTATAGAAACTTGTGTGTTCCCCTGAGAACATGCTGTATTATCACCTTGTTTGATTTCTTCCACTTTTCTTTGTTCTGTTTGATTTCCATTTTCTTCTATTTCAATTCTAATTTGCATTAGACAGTCTCTTCACAAGACAGACTGAAATGAATCACCAGAAAGCTACTCTCAAACTGGTTTATGAGGAGAGTGGTTTTAATGAGCTTCACTCTGGGGTGACTTTAACACACTTACCTATATAATTAAGAGACAAGCTATGATAAATTTTAATTTTTTCCTCTAGCTATCGCTTGAGTCATTTGTTCATTTTAAACTATAGACTTGCTAACAGTTCAGCTTGAAGAAGTCACCCAGATGTGTGTGCACATCATCTCCCCCCTTCCTAAGGCAGTGAAATAAATTGGGTTGTTAGAAGTGAGGGCAAAGTGCACTACCGTGTAAATTTAGAAAGTAGGTCAGGTCCTACTTCTGTGTTGAGGATACAGAAGATGAATCTCAGACTCAGAAAGGGAATATTCAGCAACTGACACAAAAGGAGGGCTCTCTGAAGGCAGCAATTTTTCATTTGGTTTAGGAATTCTGAAACTCTAATCAACAGCATCAACTCCAGGGAAGGTAACTCCCATCTGTTCACTGTAGAACTTAGTACAGTAGGAGTTTCAGAGTGGCATCTGTGAGAGTAAAAGAAAGGAAGAAAAGAGAGACAGACAGACACAAAGAGAGAGAGACAGACCCAGAGAGAGAGGGGGAGAGGGAGAGAGAGAAGGGAAGGGAGGGGGAGAGACAGACAGACAGACAGACACTCTTCCCCCCCCAGAAGGTCCCGAATCCTCAAATCATTTGTGAGCTTCTTAGCTTTTTATGTTTCCCCAGTTTTCCAAGTCCTCTTTCTCTCTGGGAAGGAGAACCTCAATTTGGAGAAAATTGCCTCACAACACTTCTCAGGGATGGGGGTTGGGACTGGGGAGGTGATGGGGGAAATGGGATG